CTCCTTACGTGACGAGGCTGTGCTAGTGCTGACGTCATCCGGATCCGATTTGCTGGAATCAGCTGCCGTAGGTGGGCTGGCTTCCCTGCCATCTTGTGGACTGGCACGCGTGGCAGGAAAACTAGGCTCACCGAGCTTTGCCGAGCGAACAACTGGAACGTCAACAGCCAGCTGCTGCTCTGTAGCATGAACATAGGGCGATGCCGCAGCACTTGCATCACCAACAATGTTATCTTCATCACATACTGCTTCTACTGCTGGCCCTAGTGCTGCAGCTGGATGGGCTACAGTCGTAGCTTCCTGGCCAGTATTTTCAGCAGCTGCAGAGGCCTGTATCTGGGACAATGGTCGCCTGTCATCCAGTTCTGTGCCGGCCTGGGTGCCAGGCGTATCAATGCCTTCTGCATCCGTGCTACTACTACTAGTGTTGATTGCAGTGTCTGCACTGCCGTCCTGGCTGCTGCCATTCAGTGTCCCAGCAGCAGCAGCAGCACCACCACCACCACCACCACCACCACCACCACCACCACCACCACCACCACCACCACCACCACCACCACCACCACCACCACCACCACCACCACCACCACCACCACCACCACCACCACCACCACCACCACCACCACCACCACCACCATCATCACCATCACCACCACCATCGTTTGTGTCTGCAGTGGGTAGGTATTGTACTGTGCTATCACCAACACTACAGCTGTCCGTTACCAGTAGCTCCTCACCCCGCGGCTCATCGGCACCTTGATCCGGGGATGCTGGAGCGGCACCGCGCTCTTCTACTACCACTGCATCACTCTCTGCTGCAGCACTATTAGTATTACCATCAGCAGCTTGTATATTACGATTGGTGAGACTGTTGCCATGACTGCCGACAGAGCTTTCTGGGCCTGGGATTCCTATGTGATATGCTTGAGCGGCATCAGTGCCGTCAAGATCGTCCACTTTTGTCTGTGTGACGTCATCATCAACCCTGACCATGCCGACACCATGTACCAGATGTACACTGCCACTGGATTCAGTGCCCGATGTTTCAATGTCTGAATCCTCATCACAGCTCCGAGTTCCGCTTGGGGAATACGAGCTAGGACTACTTCGGGATGTGTCGCTGAAGGCACTAGCCGTGTGCGTAACAGCCGTGACTGCATGATCGACTGCTAATGCTATGTTAGGGCGTAAGTCATCGTCATCATCATCGTCCTTCTTCACATCATTCACACCAGCATAAATGGATGGGGTCCCCGCCTCGCACTGCCGGTCCCCACCTGCCACTGGCTCTTCAACTTCAGGAACGAGATCCGGATCATCCATTTTTTGATTTTTCATGTACCGCCGGCGAGCCATGATCGATGCGATGATCGATCCTTTCTGCCACAAAATAATTTTACAGCTCAATCTTTCGCTGCCTGACGTGGCACTAATAATGCTCGCTGCTAAACTTTAGCCTAAACTCTGATCTGGGCTGCACGAACAGTCCTATGCTATGTGTAGCTGCTGAAACTAATAAAAGTTTCCATCTGATGCTGACGAAGTAGGACAAAACTACAGCTGTACTGCCAGGTTGAGACTACTGCCGCGTTGAGTGTTCTGACTGTTCCTGTTTACCTGGTTACTTCGTTTCAGAATTTGTAGCTAGCGGCGTCAGTGACACGCGCTACGCGTAGATCTACGCTAGAGCCTTCTGCTTGAGAATGAGACTTGATGACTGAGCGATGGAAAACGATACAGTAAACGCACCCTGCTGCGCCTTGGCTTGAGAGTTGAGTTGACATGTTCGACGGAGACGGGGAAACTACCCGGGACGTAGATCACTAATGGTGTTATGTCATGATGACGACAGTGGCTAAGTTTCAGTATGTGATCGTCGTGATTGTCACTGCACTGATTCATCAGCCATTCGCCACTACAATAAAAATACTCAATCTGCGATATAATAATTAAATATAAACATAAGTCTACGCACAGGTACATGTACATACAATGAACAAGAATACAGTATGTCATAATCATGCATGAAAGAAGTGCTGTTTTCTCTGTTCTAAACGTCTCTAGCATGCATAGGAAATGGCTCCAGAAATGATATTCATATCGGGGACACTTATGCATTTTGTTGTACTTATGGCCACTTAAATTGATGTAGAAAGTACGAAAGTCAATGTTCTGAACTTCAAGGCCCTATACATGTGCAACAAAATGCATAAAGACGGTATACCCCATACGAATATAACGTTTTTTTCACCTATCATTAAAGAGGTTTGAAAGAATTCTGAGGCTTCCTGCACTCTTCATAATAGAAAGAGGTTTTGGTGGACACGCCCATTCCAGTCTCACTGCAAATCTGAACCAATTCCATGAATTAGTCTTGCCTGGTGTAACACTATTGTAAGCATGTAACCGCGGGCCAGGGAGGTATGTAATTAAGTGCTGGTCTACGTTGATAGATTACATGAAGCCGATGATGAAGGATTTGGCCATTTGGGGCCTTGCCTGTCGGTAGCATGCTTCACAGCAAGGACATACAGTGTACTTAGTACGCCACACCGTACTACATTATGATAAGGAAATTCTATATATTCACTGGTTTTAATGGAAATTCTATGTCCGTATAATCAGGACATCGCACAGCTTCCTTGTACTTCAAAGTACAATCATAGAATTACAGCTCACATCAACCACTCAATACACAATCATGGTCATCAGTGTTTGGCAACAGGGCTTTTACACCACTGATGAAACCATGAATAGTGCGCATCCCTCAAATTGCATTTTTTTGCTGCATTGTGATTTGTGATTACATACACGTCATTGAAAATGGGCATGATGGATTGATGGTGCAGCTCTACATTTACGTATCAACAGTCATCAAGGAGAACACCATCCACGTGTCACAGACAAAAGCCAAACACCGGGCAAACGCACGGTCATCGATAGCTCAGAGTAGAGGTCACGGAATGCCCTAGATATGAACGAAAGCACTAGGTGACAGATAACACCTGGTAGCTGTGACTAGAGTTGACATTTTAAGAATTGTTTTAGCTTGAAAGTAAAAAAAAGACTTCATAGAAAAAATAGCTCAACATACTTGAAGCACATATGCAGTCAAGAACAAACGTGACGTTGTTGACAAATTGCAATGAGCAAGTCAAACAGGAGAGAACCAAGCACAGGGGAATATCAAGCAGATGCCACGCCCTATTCTCAACAGCAGCCAGGATCTAAATAATTGCAGTCCGCAGCAGCAGCAGCAGAAATGCTTAAAAAACTACTTGTAAAAACGTTGCTACATGTACTAGTCATGGTCCCTATTTTTATGCTGTGATTGTCATGAATATGTCAAGATTGATACAAGGCAAACCGTGCAAAGCCTGTAGCAAAGCTGCACACTGCAAGAAAGGCACATGCCTCGAAGTCAGTATGTGCTCAACTGCACCTAGTTCTTTACAGAGTGGTCGCAAGTGGCAGACGTCAGCAGATCACTCGGTTCTGGCTCGACAAGAATGGTGACATCGGTAACTCTCGTGATCAGCGCCTCCACCGCACCGGCATCATAGTCCTTGTGCCTGTTTTCCCGCCATAGATCAGTAGCCAAGTAGTCAATGATGACCTTGTTTTGTCTGCTCAATTCTGTATGCCCTTTACTAGGGCTAGGCAGACGCAATGTGAAGATGAACACAGCTCTGGGATCGACAGCATCGGAGCTGTCACAATAGGAAAAAAAAAGAAACGGTGATGGCGGAGGCAGTTGTTGCAGATTCTCAACCAGCACCACAGGAGGTGAATGTGGTGAGCCCGGTTCGGTGGTTTGCGCGGATAGTTTTTCTCGTAGCACTGAATCTAGGATCTCCTTTGCTCGATCACCATCTCCTGAAACAGTACTGACAATGTCAGACGCATCGACTGCTACGTCGGAATACTTTGAGAATGCCCGTGCCAATGATCTGGCCAAACATGTCATGGTTGAATAGGCCTCCGGGTATGCAGCCAGAAAGAATATGACTGGTTGAATCGGTGACGCGTCCTTAAGGTGGTGTGCACCACGGCCAGAGAATGCCTTCCAGCTGAATGCTGGTTGTGTCGCAAACCTCTCTGCAAGATGGGTTACAGACGTCTTCAGCTGGTCAGGAGAAATAGCGTAGGGAAATGATGGGTGAGTACTTCCAGCATCAAACATACTGTCACTGCTGTTCATGTATCTAGAGACGAACAGAATTACCCCACCAAGAAGTAATCCTCCACAGAAAGCATGGATGAGCGACCACCCAGGAACCTCGCCAGCACCATGCTCGTGAGCAATCCTCCTACTCCTTGGTAAGTGGGGTTTCCTCTTAGTTCGCCTGTGACCACCTCGCCCATCAGGTAACGCTGCAGTATCAGCACTGCTCAGCAAGTCACTGCCATCGTCACATACATCCTCATCGTCGAAGCCATCACTCACCTCCCCTCTGTCATCGCCTTCACCATTATCGCCCAATTTTGACTCATCATCACTTGAATTGTCTACGCGTAGGACATCTGCGGTATCAGATCGCAGTCGTAGGTCTCCATCCAAAGGGAAATCACTATTTCTTAACCGGTTACGTCTGAGATTGTCCGGAAATCCAATACACCTGGACATTGGACCGTTGAAGACTTGCCTCTGCCCGGAGACAGTAGCAAGCTCGCGCGACGAACAGGAAGAAACCTTCACAAGATCACGCACCACTTCTAAACGGCAATTAGCACGTTCCTCCGGAGTTCTAGCACCAAATTGGGAAACTCCATCCCTTTCTCGTTCAAAGAATACCACAAATAAAAAAAACAGGCCACATGAACACAAGACACAACTAGCTGCATGCATTCACTCAGCAGAAGAAATAATTGCTTGGTGAATTTTCAAATCAAAAAATTAATAATAAAAAATGTTGGTTCTGTGACGCCTTCGCGGCGCACAACTCAACATTTTGCTGAATTTTTTGACGCCATATTGTGTAACTTGGCAACGGTGGCTAAAGAGAGCATGCGCAATAAGTCTACCTGTTTTCCTTGGGTCTTTCTTTTCTTTCTCTGGCCGACGCTCGGCGACGGGGATTTGTCATAAAGATGAAGGTATGAGCTTGATGGAGGCCTTTGCAGAACCCAGTGCATGCTGAAAATACCAGTTAATAGTGCTGATCATGTTTGGAGTAGAAGGATTTTCTGGCGGAAGAGATTCATGGAGTTCTGGTCCTTTTTGTGTACAATGTGTAGCTCAACATCGCTTTTCCCGCAACGGGATGCCAAAAATTGATTGAAGTTGACGATGAGCGAAAGCTGTAAGTTCGTTGAGGCTTCAGATAGTAGTTAGAAACAGAAGTACTTGAACACTGTTCTGCGTTCGGTTTGTGATCATCCAGGCAAGCTTTCTTTGACAAGCGTATCTCCGCTGAGGTCGCTGGTGATTCTCTTGGAGATGATTGGAAGGTAGGTTACGATTTGGACATGGGGAAAGCTGAACAAAAGGATCGTGGAGAGTGTTATACTTCTGACGTTCTCATTGCAGGGATACCGCTTCCGCATCACCGGAGGCAATGACAAGCAGGGATTCCCAATGAAGCAGGGTGTCTTGACCAATGGACGTGTTCGTCTGTTGCTGTCCAAGGGCCATAGCTGTTATCGGCCACGTCGTACTGGCGAGCGTAAGCGCAAGTCAGTCCGTGGCTGCATTGTGGACGCCGCGATGAGCGTTCTCAGCTTGGTCGTGGTTCAGAAGGGTGAACAGGTAAGAAATCTTTGAGTACAATGTTCTCAATTAATTAACCGAGTATTGAAGGATTTTTCAAATTTTTTCGGATTTTTTCTTCAAAAATTTGAGGGAATGAAAAAAGGAAAAAGGTGGAATAGTTGTTACCACCATTATTCGAAATTTTAATTTATGCTGAACACAAATGCATTGAATTCATTCATAGCTCTTTGGAAGAATGAATTGCAAGAGCAGAATTTAGTAGGTCTTTAGTGTATACTGTACATTATGGTCTGTTACTTTCACAGCCTGACAAGCTGAATCAGTCTTTGGCTCGTCAATCCAGAACGCGCCTTTCATGCAATGTGTATTTTATGGCAGTCACAAGTAATTTGACTTGTCGGTAATGCATTGGTGACTGAATTTTCGATCCAGCCATTACTTGCCCGACCAGCTGTGCAACGGAAAATCGTAATTTATCTTGCTGCTTTGGCCTAGAGTTCAGGGAGGTTGTGATTTCAGTGTTATGCAAGAACAGTGGTCACTTGGTGCAATCCGGTATGATTGTGGCCAGGCACCAGCGAAACTTCAGAAGCTGATGTTTCTAAATACTGCTGTGGGCCAACACGAATGTACAGCCTGTACATTTACGAGGAAAGTATGGTTTGTTCATACTGGTGGATATGGCTGTGGTTTTTCTAGGAAATCCCCGGCCTCACCGACAAGACCATCCCACGTCGTCTTGGACCGAAGCGTGTTGGAAAGATCCGCAAGCTTTTCAACTTGGAGAAGGCTGATGATGTTCGCCAGTATGTTGTCCGTCGCCCAATGCCAGAAAAGGAGGGCAGGAAGCCGAAGTCCAAGGCCCCCAAGGTCAGTGTCTCGTCGACTTTTTGTTGCAATCATTTTTGATTTGAGATCAAGTCGTGGGTGTGTACCTCCTCCCTGACTAAGACTGTCACTTTGCATTGTTGGTAGGTTATTTGTGGTTTGATCTGTGAGCCCACGGTCACTTTGCTGTGACTATGCATGTATCTAGTATTAGAAGTGAGCAGTCCAGTACATATTCATCAGGCAGTATATTAGATGCACGTGACAGTAACCACATGCTACAGTCCACTCAACACAAGGAAGGCATTCGATTACGCGAAATTCTGTCTCATTCGGCTACACACAATTCAGTCTTGTTCTAGAATTCTATACCATGCATATGCCGTTAGATGACACAGATTTTATTGCCAGTGACTGCATGTGTCTGCTGCGTTTATGCTACTGATTTGTACAAATATTGTGTATGTGAACTCTTCCCCGGTTTGGTCGAGCGGGTCCTTATTACAGAATTCACGACGAATTCCATAATTTTTTTACTTCGGCTTAATTTGCTCCTTCCGACCATTCGAGAATTTGAGTATCCGGGTTCATAATGTATCGTCAAAAGCGTCGAATGGGCTGTTGCAAGTGGAACCTCCATTAACTTGTTTTTGTCCCATTTACCGCCGTTTTTGATTATATATTTTTTATGAATGGGCTATAGTGTGCAATCTTAGCCGCTGTTGTATTTAGTGGTGTTTATTTGGAACAGGGCTAGAAGATGTACACACATTTTAGCTTGTTACTTCCCTTTTGCACATGTATGGAAGTCCAATGGCAGATCCTATTGCATGCGTTTCTTTTGATTCACCTTGTATGTTGGGTAAATGTACACCGTGCTAAAATGCATTTCTGCTCTAACCGTCAACGTTGCTTCTCTTGTGTATGTTCTTACAGATCCAGCGCCTTATCACGCCCGTTGTTCTTCAGCGCAAGCGTCACCGTGCTTCAATGAAGAAGCAATGGGCTGTCAAGAGCCGCGAGCAGGCTGCCACCTACCAGAAGCTGCTTGCCCAGAGGCAGAAGGAAGCTCGTGAGAAGCGTGTTGAGCGCCAGCAGCGCCGTCGTCGCCTCACTTCCACCGCTCAGAGCTCTTCCCAGTAATCTCTGTAATAAACCATTTTTAGACCACATCGTGTTCTTTGGCATCGGCAAGAGTGCATGGGCTCACAGAGTGACCCATTACCATGGGTAATTTGTATTCAGGATTCCTGATCTATGGTCTGTAGAGTCTCAACTTGTGCAATCCATGGTCACTTCCTACGTGCTGCGAAGGCCATGTCATAAATGAGGAATCAACATGTCTAACGGGTTTATTATAAGTTTTAACAATGTGATAGCGATGTGAAGAACGAAAAATGTGGTGGGCAACGATGAAGTTACTTCGAACTGCATGCTGCTTAACAATAGCATCCAATCCCGTCCGTACATGCCTATAGTCCATCCATAATAATTTAGTATCCTTCTTTTCGCCGTAAATGGGTCAAATTTTGAGCACACTTTTTTCGGCAATCATGAAATTGACTTGCTCTTCCGATTACTAGTATATATACCGGTACCTGTTTAGGGTGCGTTCAGACTACCGTGAATGCCGATAAACCGTGAAGGACACTCACAACCGATAAACTACAATCCATTTCAAAACTATAGACGCGTACCTCGGCAAAAACCGTTATGCCTGATTGTGACATAAAATCTGTGATCACTTTGTGCATAATTTTTTCCAAATTGGGCGTCTGTTATCCAATCGTTTAGATTGGATCTATTGCTAGCATGCTAGATCTAAACTATATTTATTATGTAGGATTTTGGTCATATTTTTAAACTCAAAATGGGTGTAGCATGAGCATAGGAAAACGTACAATAGAGTCGCGCGCTGAAGAACGTGGAGCCCAAGAACGTCCAGCCTGAAATTCTAAGAACGCCACAGCCTAATGGGCCATTCACACTACGCCCAAACGTGACGTTTTCGTCCGGATAGCCATGACAACATGAAACGTGGCGGGAAAATCGTACTCTTTATACGAAAATGTAGACGATGTATCCAGACTCCTGTACCGAGTTTCGTTCTGTCGTTCCCAGCCAGCAGGAATGTGTCCGAAAGAAGCTGTACACACAGCTGTACGAGCCTGTGTGAATGCACGTGCATGGAAACGATGTTTGCCAGTACGTCGTATTCCAAAACGTGACGCGTATTGTAACGTAGTATCAAGAGTACATAACCCCCCCCCCCCCCAGACTGTAGGGCTGACCCGAATTTGCCAGCTGAATCTCGATATTTTGCGGCATAATTTTGCTCGTGCATCGTCGAAATTTTGCTTTCATTTTGCTAGGCCACTCGATATTTTGCTCCCTTTTTGCTCCAAAATTTGTGTCACGTGTGAGAAAACTGACCGAAAGTGGGTTACGTGTTGGCAAAAATGAGAAAAAGTGAGTTACGTGTTAGTAAAACTGTGCCGAAATGAGTCATGTGCACCGTACATGTATATGTGTAAAATCTCCCAATTCCCAGCCAACACACCGATATTTTGCTCCATTTTGCCAGCAAATTCCCTTTCAAAATTCTTCGATATTTTGCTAGAAGAATTGCTAGCAAATTCGGGTCTGCCCTACCAGACTGCCAGAGTACGAGTGTGCAACTCCCACATACCTAGGCCCTGCTGTCCCGACAGAATTTCAAGTTGACGTCATTATTTATGACGCAATGCTCCTTGCACCCGTACCCGTGATTTACAACATGTGTACGGGTGTCAACGCATCACACGCTTTTCTTTGCAATAATTATTTGTACAGGATCGATCGGCTTTGGTCAACCACAGGTTCCGGATTCGTCTGATAATCCGTGTACAGTGCGCAATGCATCATCAAAATGACGTCAACTTGAAATTCTGTCGGGACAGCACCCATATAGGCCATAGTGGAGTTGCACACTCTGGGGGCTTTGGAAGTTATGTACTCTTGGTAGTATGAATAGTAGGGCTCAAACGATTAGTCCAATTAACCGGTTGCAGAATAATTGACGGTTAACCGATAAAGATAACGGTTATGCAGTAACTTTTCAGTCAATTTTTCAAGTATCAGGTCGTTGCAAAGTATGCACTTTCGCAGGCTGTCACCATGGTCACACGCGTAAGCAATTTCTGGGCTATCACCTCGGTCATATCTGGTCTCTTGGTGTGAGACTATGTATGAATGAGCATGCAAGAGAATATACATGTGTGCGTTGTACTGAATAGGGTACATTGTTTGAATGAGTATAGTCAAATACACGGTTAAAAAAGAGTCCGCCGGATTGCCGTGTCTTATAGGTTATAACCGTTAAACCGACCGTTAGCTTAGCAGCTAACCGTCAGGGGTAAAACCGTGACCGTTTGAGCCCTAATGAATAGCCTATAAAGCTACGAACGGCGGCGTTGGTTTTCTGGCAGTTTATGGGATACATATGATCAAGGACGGATTGTTTCTAAGAACGTCACGCACACGGTGCTATAAGAACGCAGCCAGATTGCTGACAAAATAAGAACGTCCCAGTCTTAAACCCCTTGGAAACAACGTTCTTGGGCGCGCGACTCTACTGTATGTGACCAATTCTTCCGTGTTAGGTCTTAGTAGATATGGAGAGTTGAATAAGATATTTTTTTCAAATACTAACATCTTAGGGCCTGGTAAGACTGCGGCAAATTTTGGTTGCCTGACGAAAACAGAAATGAGCGTCCAGAATTAGAATCGCGATCACACTACACAGGTGGGGAGAATGAAAATTCAAACTTCATTTCGAGCGTCAAGTGGTAATCTCCACGAACGACGTCAAATTCCTTCACCTTGGGGATCACCAACACCTTCAGTGCAATCCTTGCAACCATCCTTATGAGTTTTGTTGTTGTCCGTGACCTCGATATCGAGATGAAAAAATAAGTGAATATCAGCATCAATGGCGTATCAGCGTCAAACTCCTGTTGGAGCGGAAAAAGCGTGGTCCGTTCTTGCTTTTTTTTGGAGCGTCAACTCCCGCTTTTGCCGCTCTGGCGGCAAGTTACTATGGAGATTCGGATTATAATCCTAGGATTATTTCAATTTTGCCGCAGTCTGACCATCTCCTTGCGCAATATTTCTAAGGTCTGTGCCCTATTTTTCGAATCCTATTATAATTATAGGATTTGAGATTTTACTGGACCTTGTTTTATCCTTAAAATTGGTAGTTTCACGACGGCATGTGCGATATGTCGTCATGAAACCACCCCGTGCCACACCTGTAATGTTCTTTTGCACATTCACTGCTTCAGTCCTTCCCATGACACCAGCTGAACAATGCTGCTCAAAGTACCTATTCTTGCTCAAAATGGGTATTCATGATGTCCTATGAATCTAAAAAGTAAACATTCATACCTCAAATATATTTACAGCTTCTAATAAAACCATAATGCTGTTATTATGCGTCATGAATGACTCATGATGACCAATAACAACGGCATAAAGGTCACGCATTTTCAAATCCTATAATCTATTATATAGGACTTTTTGCCAGCAAATTAAGAGATATGAGAGTAATTCTGGAGCGGACCTGAGCAATATTCCGAAAACTATTCTCAAAACGTTCCAGCCAAATTTGAAATATTTCAAAAACACTACGCGTCTATACAGTAAAACCTGTAATGGCGACCACTCGGATATGGCGACCACTTTTCCTTGTCACGGACGCATTCACATTCAAAACACCTCGGATAAGGCGACCACTCGCTCAACGCGACCGGCAACCACCCACCCGCGACCGCGTTGCACAGTGCTAGTCATGTAAATGTATGCATTGCATGGTGCACCAGGCATGGTACTTATTGGTAGATCTACACATCAATGCAGGAAGTGTAGATGTACATAATTATGGTGCATGCACGACATTTGACAGGTCTGAGGACCCCAGGCACATGAGTCGTGCTAGAGTAGCATAGGTGTGTGCACTGTGATGCACTGATCAAAATGATGTATCACATGTGGATATGGTCACGTGACCCACTGAACCTGGATAAGAAGACCACCTGGCCACGGCGACCACTTTTTCTCGTCCCTTGAGGGGTCGCCTTAGACAGGTTTCACTGTAGTTTTGAAATGGGGATTGCCCTATCAAAAATTTGATAATAATAATAATAATAATAATAAAATGGACTGTAACGTTACCGGTACGTAAGTTTTGTACCTCTCACCGTGGCACTGAGAAGGGATTTTCCCTTTTCCCCAGCCTGAGCACTCTTTTTACTGCCGGAAAAGTTTTACTGCCGCAGCAGCCGCGGCAGTAAAACTTTGCCGCTGGTAGCGTGCCAGTAACGTCACGTGATCAAATCACCTTGGAAACTTTCCCATTCCGTCACTTTTTATCGGTAGTCTGAGCGCGCCCTCTGGTACGTGTTTCTGAAGTCCATTTCTCCAAAAAGCCATACAGCAGGAATACTGAGGATGTCGGCCAGGGTTTGCCCCCCCCCCCCCCCCCCCTCCTCCAAGCACTGAATGAGGGAAAACTATGAAAATCCAGGCCGTTCACTGCACTGTCATAACAGTACAATCTGCGGTTCGAACCCCAGTTGAGGTGCCTTTTGGACCCCTTTTCAAGGTTCAAATCTCTTGGCATGGTGGCAATGCACTGTGTTCCACGGCAGCTCAGCTGCTCGTCATCATTACCATATTGACTGTGGCTCGAGCTGGACCAGCTAGGCTGTAGCTCAACGCGAGCTTTCGCTACGATTCTTGATCAAAAACTGCAAGTCGCGGTTGCGGTCGCGGTTCGCGTACGTTGCATTGTTTTGTACGTGAGAATGGACCACTTGCCATTTGTACAGATCCACGGAATTCCGTAGAATCCCGTAGACCGGGTAGGGTGTTGAATGCACAGGACCCTATTGTGTTTTCTGCTATTTCCACTAAGAAATGGGGCCTGAAGGCATTTCATTCGAAAACCTTTTTCTGACAAAGATCTAGCTAGTTTAAAGGGGAAGTATACCCTAAAATCAAATTTTCACCAGTTGTAGTCTTCTGGGTGCTGAGTCGAATGGTCTTGGTCCGAGGAAGCTGCAACGCTCCCTTCCTACTTGAATCCCAATCGAACTCGCGCACTTCCACCGAAACTGGGTGACTGCGCCCTA